CCACCAGCCACTCCTTGGAAGGAAGGCTGGGCAATCCTACTTCCGTAGTGATACTGCCTCGGAAACCCAAGGAGGGGTCGCTATGAGTCAGGTTTGACTCGACGGCACATAACAACAACAACATATACATGGGCAAAGAATGAAAATTCTAGAGCTCTTATGAGTATCCATGAGTGAACTTGTATATAGACCAATTAGCTAACTGGCTGCCATTTGAACAAAACAAGGGAACACTGCATGGTTTAAAATCAGGGAGGTCATGTTTTGGGATTGTATCCACTCACCATACTTACTCAATTAACAACCTGTGATATGCAGATGGTACAACCTTGCCAACTGAAAGTAAAGATGACTTGAAGCACATACTGATGAAGATCAAAATCTTCAGTATGGATTACACTTCAACAAAAAGACAACAAAAATCCTCACAAGTGGACCAATAAGCAACATTATGATAAATGGAGAAAAGATGAAAGTTGTCATAGATTCCATTTTACTTAGATCCACATCAACACTCATGGAAGAAGCAATAAAGAAATCAGACATCATACTGCACTGGCAAATATGCTGCAAAAGACCTCTTAAAAGTGTTGAAAACCAATGATGTCACTTTGAAGACGAAGGTGCACCTAACTCAAGCCATGCTATTTTCAACAGCCTCATATGCATGCGAAAGCTAGACAATGAATAAGGAAGACAGAAGAAGAATTGCCTTTGAACTGTGGTGTTGGCAAAGAATACTGAAATTACCACAGACTGCCAAAAGAATGAACAAATCTATCCTGGAAGTGCAGCCAAAATGCTCCTTAGAAGCAAGAATGGCCAGGCTTCATCTCACCTACTTTTATCATTTGGTCAGAAGGGACAAGTATCTGGAGGAGAATATCATGCTCTATAAAGTAGTGGTGGTTGTTATGTGCCGTTGAGTCGGACCCAACTCATAGCGACCCCTCCTTGGGTTTCTGAGGCAGTATCGCTATGGAAGTAGATTGCCCAATCTTCCTTCTGAGGAGTGGCTGATGGGTTTGAACCACCAGCCTTCTGGTTAGCAGTAAAGTGCCTTAGGCACTATGCTACCAGAGCTCCCCTATAAAGTGGAGGACCAGAGAAAAAGGGGAAGAACCTCAACAAGAAGGATTGACACAGTGCCTACAGTAATTGGCTCAAGCACAGCAAGGATTGTGAGGATGGTGCAGAACTGGGCAGTGATTTGGTCTGTCGTACATAGGGCCTCTATGAGTTGGAATCAACTCAATGGCACCTAACCATAACAACATGTGTTATGCACTCTGTTTTATGCTAGAGATACACAGTGGAGAACAAAGAGAGATAAAGTATCTTTACTTCACAGAGCTCTTTGTACAGATAGAGATAAAAATAACTATATAGGCAAGAGGATGGCAAATGCTTATGATAAGTATGCATATTATAGGAGGAAATAATCAAACTTTTGTCCTAAGATAATTTATTGCCATTAGAGAATTTTAAGTTGGTGAATAAAATGACTAGATATATGTATTTGTTCATGTTGTAGAAAAAGTAAGTCTAAAGGAGTAATAAATGCAACAAAAAGTAAGTTTCCCATGGAATCAAATAACTCAGACAGAACAAGATATAAAAACAAATATAATGATATAAAAAATATAGCAGCTTACGAAATGCAATATCCAGTGAAATAAACACTGCTATTAACTTTAACTGGAATCAACTTGACAGCAGCAGATATTTTAGCCCCTGCTCTTTCCCATTTTACAGATGAGGAAATTCAGGCTCAGAATAAATAATATGCCTATTGGAACAGAGTTTTAACAAAATAATTCCAATCAGGCTGTCTTGAACCACAGTGATATGTTATTAATACTGACATCTCCAAAAAATTTATTCAAACTCTGCTCATACATGCTGATGCTTCAAAGATTGTTCCCATGAGCATGTTTTTTGTAATCTCACATTGCATGAGTATATCAGGGAAAATCTTGTTTCTAAGAGAGAAAAATTAAATTTCAAGAGCCTAAATTAAAGAACGTGGCATTAGGATTGGAGGAAGATTCAATAAGAACCTGCAATATACAACCATATACAACCTTGCTTGCTGAAAGTGAAATGGTTTGAAGAATTTAATGATAAATACCAAAGACTACAGTCTTTATCATGGGTTGCACCTCAATATAAAGAAAACAAAAATCCTCAAAACTAGATCAACAAGCAAAATCATGATAAATGGAGAAAAGACTGAAGTTGTCAGAGATTTCCTTTTACCTGGATCCATAATCAACATCCATGGAAGCAGCAGTCAAGAAATCAAGATATTGTATTGCACAGGGCAAAAATTTGCTGCAAAAGACCTTTTCAAAGTATTAGGGAGCAAAGATGTCACTATGAAGACTATAGTGCACCTAACCCAAGCCATGGCATTTTCAATCACCTCATATGCATGCAACAACGGAACATGAATAAGGAATACCCAAGAAGAGTTACCTATGAAATGTGGTGTTGGAGAAGAATACTGAGTACACCATGCACTGCTAGAAAAACAAACAAACCTTTCCTGGAGGAAGTGCAGCTGGAATGCTCCTTACAGATTAGAAAGATCAGACTTCTTCTCACCTACTCTGGTTATGTTATCAAAAGAGATCACACCCTGGAGAAGTGTATTGTGCTTGGTAAAGTAGGGGGTCAGCAAAAAAGGGGCATACCCTCAACAAGATAAACTGACACAGTGGCTGCAATGATGAGTTAAAGCATAGCAAAGACTGTGAGGATTGTGCATGACCCGACAATGTTTCATTCTATTGTACAAAGGGTTACAATGAGTTGGAGCTGAACTAACAGAACCTAACAAGAGCAATTTAAAGATAGATCCCTTAAATTAGATGTTTATTTCATATAGAATGCACACTAAATTTAAAGGGAACACACAAGACAGAAATAAAATTTTAAATAAATATATACTGTCAGCAAATGCCTGATCCTTTTCCACATCCTTAATCTCAGATAATATAAAACATTTCTATTTTTTAACTCACTTTTTCTCACATTGACATTGGTTTGGAAAGGATATGGAACTCTTTCCTCAGAAGTTGCAGGCACTGTATTATGGTTAGTTTTGCTATTTATCCCTCATATTTGAGGACTACTGCCAGTATGATTTAGCATATGCAGACAAATGCAGGACAATATATTTTCCTTATATTTTATTTCAGTAACATTACGTAATCTTGCTTTCTCAGGGAACGTCCATTGCCTTACTATTTAACTTCTATCCACGTATAAAATAAAAAACCAAACTCACTGCTATAGAGTCAACTGCAACTCACAATGACCCCTCCCTGGATTCCCGAGGCAGTGTGGGAGCTCTGGTTGGGCAATCCTACTTCTGTAGTGATACTGCCTCGGAAACCCAAGGAGGGGTCACTATGAGTCGGGTTTGACTCGACGGCACATAACAACAACAACAACAACAATCTCTATGGAAGTATATTGCCCAGACTTCCTCCTGAGTGGCTGGCTGGTTTGAACCGCCAGCCTTCTGGATTTAATTTCTATCTTCTGAACTTTACCATCTAGCATCTGACAACAGTTGTATAAAAATATTCATTTATTCTTTCATATGTTTGATGGTTAGTGTAACTAACATATATAAATTTACAGAGTATCCTATCTTATCTATCCACACATAATGTTGAAGAGTTTGGAGCAAGAACATTTTCGCTGTATTGGCAAAGGTCAGCCACTGAAAAGGAATGCTAGCAAAAATGACAGAGGAAAAGACAACCAACCAACCAATGATGTAGCTTAATGTGTTGGCAGTTGTTTCATCAAAAATGTTTTCATATGTAAATGGAATATAAAATTCTCATATTTATGTTTCATGACTTATATTTCTTTTATATACTATCATACAGTTCATGGCTTATATTTCCATTATATCCCATTAACTGAAAAAAAAAAAAAAAAACCAACTCAAGGCCATTGAGTCGGATCTGACTTCTAGTGACCCCTCCTTGGGCTACCAAGGCGATATCACAACAGAAGTAGATCGCCCAACCTTCCTTCCAAGGAGTGGCTGGTGGGTTTGAACCTCCAGCCTTCGGGTTAGCAGTCAAATGCCTCAGGAACTACACCACCAGAGCTCCCTATATCCTGTTACATGACAGAAATTTAACATAAGCTTTCAATTGATATTTTTGAAGTTAATAAATGGCTATGAGATTTATTTAACCAATGATTTATAAAAACTTTACTGAATAGTTATTCACATGGTCAATTTCAAAGAAAAATAAAAGTATCAAATTACAATTTTTCTAAATATTATAATATACATTACTATATATACTGTGGTATTTTCTTTAAAACTAAGTCAAATAGTCTATAAAATACCATTTTGATGATTGAAAATACAAATATTAAAATTATTGGAGACCTGTCTTTTTTTATCTTATTTTCTTATCATTTTAATATTCAAAATAATACAGAAAATAAAACATACCTCAATTTTTTCCTAACTACAAAGCCACGTATCCATCTTTGAATAATCAAAACTGGTGAATTATGAGCCATAATTTCATTAATTTTTGAAATAGTATGTTTAATATTATTAATTTCATCCTCATAGGTTGTTCCCTGTAGAAAGAAAATAAATTTGATTTTTATCTTTCATGATAATATTTCCAAAAGATATTTTAAATATGGTAACTTAAAGGTATGAATAAACTAATAAAACTTTCATAGGTGTCTTGTAGGCATAATAGTTAACAATGAATTCACTTTCAGACCATTTTATCAGATCAAAAGTTTAAGAATTAGTATCATCAAATAATTTCAATTATTTGTGTGAAATGCAAGACCCAGAACTTTCTCCATTCTAGATTCTTCTCTCAATCTGATAACATATGTATAAAATTTTAACCATAATCATCCTGCTCTCTGAAAGGTGAACAGCTATCCAATGAAAATGTGAAAGTATTCTGTGGATCCCCATAAAGAAAATCAACCTATGATAGATTCATAAAATAATGCATAATCATTCAAAATTTTATTGCAGCCTAACTGTAACACTGAGCACTTTTATTGAAGCATAGGACATTTATCTAGGAAAAGATATACTACAGTGCTTTTAAAGAAATTTTCTCTGAGAACGCTTTTCTTTATTTTTTTTATTTGGGTAAGCAGATCCCTAAATTCCATTTATCATTTGGGTAGTTAGAACTAAACTCATCTTATTTATGTTTTGAAAGCAGGAATCATGCTTCAAAAAGGTGATATTTATATTATTTGTAAATTGTCATCCTACAACATTAAAAACATACACTTTTTCCCCAGTACACTAAATTAGCTATGTACTGCTAGGAAAAATCATAAAGCTTGCAAAGAGAGCTTGTTTTAGTTTCCTAGGGCTGCCATAACAAACTATAATGGAACAGGTGGCTTTAAAAAACAAAAATGTATTGCCTCACAGTTCTGCAGGCCAGAAGTTTTAATTCAGGGCATATCGTCCCACTGTTTCCTCTAGGGAAACATCCTTTCTTGTATCCTCCAGCTTCTGGTAGTCCTATGCATGTAACATTTCTTGCCATCCCTTGGCTTTTAGATGCATGTTCACATCGTCTTTGTTTTCCCACAGTGTAACTTGTCTTCACTTACGTTTTCAAGATATCACTCAGTGGGAATTAGGACCACTCCTACACTGGCATCCCCTTGATTAATTAATAATCCAAATATCCAAAGAAAAACCCTATTTGCAAACTAGGTCACATTCACAAGTACACAGGTTAGGACTTCAAGAAATCTTATTAGGGAAAACAATTCAATCCATAACAGTGCTACTTCAAATTTCTTCTTTGAAATATTCGTTGCTGATTAGCAATGCCTTTTAGTTGGTCTAGTCCCAACAGTAAAGAGCTCTCGTGCCACAGTGCCTAAGGCATTTGGCTACTAACAACAAGTCTAGCAGTTCAAGCCCACCAACTGCTCTGTGGAAGGAAGATGGTGCAATCTACTTCCATAAAGACGTATCACCTTGGAAATCCAATGGGGGTCGCTATGAGTCATAATTGACTTGATGGCAGTAAAGTGTTTTTTTTTCCTAATTCCCAACAGTAGCTATTCCAAATTTCAATATTCAATATTCTTGAAGCCCTTTTCCTAGATCTTCCTAAACATCTTGTCTTCATTCTCACAGAGAAAAGAGCATCATCCACCAACTAAGTCCTCTACACTCCCTACAAATTTAATTATATCTCTGTCTATTCATAGTGCCTTCTATTCAGTCTTATAACAAGAAGTATCTGTTTTTGTTCTCTGCTTTGTAACATTCATTGAAATTATGACTCCCATTTCCCTCTATTTTCAATTGTTTCCCTTTCTACTGGCACTACTCCTTTAGTTATAATGCCACATAGTTTGACCCATCTTTAAAATGCACACATACAAATAAACACAAATATAGCAACCCTTCATCCTTTGTATCTAACTTTAAAGTCGAAATTTTTGAAATCAAATTCCACACTTGTTGCTCCCACCTTCTCTATTTCTGTGGCTCAATCTACTGCCTTTCTACCCCTACCATCCTATCTGATATTCTTCTTATGGAATTATCATTGCATATTCCCTCCTTAGGAGCTCTGGTAGCGTAGTGCCTAAGGCACTTGACTGCTAAACAGAAAGCTGGCAGTTCAAACCCACCAGCCACTCCTCGGAAAGAAGGTTGGTCAATCTACTTCCATAGTGATACCACCTTGGAAACCCAAGGAGGGGTCACTACAAGTCAGGTCTGACTCGATGGCACACAACAACAACATTCCCTCCTTGAAACACTTCCCTAGGCTTCTCTGAACCACTCCTCCAATTTTTCTTCTTACTCTAGTTTCTCGTGAAGTTAAAGAGCCCTCTTTACCCTGCCCCTCCCTTTAATGTCACAAGGAAAGGTGATATTAACCAAGTTCCAGAGATGAATGCATCTAAATTCATAGCTACAACAATCACCTATATGCTGAAGACTCCCACATTTCTATCTTCAGGTTTGCCTAACCTCTCTCTTGAGCTACAGAAAAATATGGTAAACTGATGTCCAATTAATTCAACCTGTCTAAATGTGAATTTATTATCTTTCTCCCCATTGTGCTTTCTCTTATATTCTCTACCCTAGAGAATGGTACTAATTCGCATAGTTACCTATGTCAGAAAGCCAGGGACCATCTTAGATTTTCTTTATTCTCATGCTTCCTCACGTCCAAGTATCAACTACACCTTGTATATTCACCATCCCATATGTGTCTGACCTCTCTGTTCTATTCACTATCATTGCTTTGCTGCATGTCTTTATCATTTCTTCCCTAGGCTATTAAAAAAGCCCTGATATATACATCAATTACTATATCCTTACTCCCTCCAAACCGTAATATGCACTGTTGCTAGAGTGAACATCTCAAAATGTAATCTGATCACATGGCTTCCTGGCTTAATACACAGTGAAACCTGTGAGAGCCGAAACTCAATGGGACTGCCTTGTTTTTCAGATCTCACAGTTTTCTGTTTCTGAAAGGGTGAAGTCTTACCACTTTTCTATCATCTTGTATTAGTGGAAAATATTTGACTTTTCCTTCTCTGACAGGTTTCCACCTTACATAGATCCCAGCTTTTACAGGTTTTACTGTATTTTGCTAACACATCTTTGAAAGATCAGTTACAAATTTCTTGATTTGACACACTAAGTTCACTTTGGTTTAGTTATTCAACTTCATATCTCTGTAATTTAATATAACACATTTCACTCAGGCAATATCTAACCACTTACAGTCTGAAAACTGTCTAATTTCAATGCTTTTTACATATGTTATTCCATTTTCTTACACTGTCCTTCCCAATTATTTTTCTCACTACCTTTGTCTTTTGAAGTCTCAGTTCCTTCCTCCAAGAAGCCTTTCTTAACATTTATCTGAATTCAATATCCTTCTACAATATTAACCCATCCAATAACTAACTCATTTGTCATCCTTACACTATGATGGAATTATTGGTTTATTTCCCATTGCAACATAAGCTCACCAAGTTCCACAACTCTTTCTTTATGCTATATCTCTAGAACTAAGTAAGCTATTTGGTCTATAACTGGTATTCAATGCTATCAGCTGACTATTAAATCACCAGGGAATGGTCATTTATACATTATCATATTTGACCTCCAACCTTGATTTGAAAATGTCCATCAGTCTATTCCTGTAACTCTTATATGGCTGCAGTAACAGTTGAAATTCTTCTACTTTTTTAATTTTTATTTTTCTTTCTGTTATGCTGGTTTATTTCCCTTTGCATATCATTTAAATACTGGTAAATTTAGGGTTTCTTCTTCTTTTTTTCTCTTTGCTAACTTTCCTAGAATGGTTACATTCCTTCCTGCAGTTTGTTGTTGTTAGGTGCCGTCGAGTCGCTTCCGACTCATAGCGACCCCATGCACAGAAGAATGAAACACTGCCCAATCCCGCTCCAGCTCCATGATCCTTGCTATACTTGAGCCCATTGTCACAGCTACTGTTCCCCTCTTTTGTTGACCCTCCACCTTACCAAGCATGACATCCTTCTCTAGGGAATGGTCCCCTCTGACAACATGACCAAAGTAGGTAAGACAAAGTCTGGCCATCCTTGCTTCCAAGGAGCATCTCGGCTGCACTTCATCCAGCACAGATCTGTTTGTTCTTTTGGCAGTCCATGGTACCTTGAGCATTCTTCGCCAGCACCACAATTCAAAAGCCATCAACTCTTCTTTTATCTTCCTTATTCATTGTCCAGCTCTCACACGCATACGAGACAATTGGAAATATCATGGCCTGTGTCAGGTGCACCTCAGTCCTCAAGGAGACATCCTTGCTCCTCAGCAATTGAAAGAGTTCCTTTGCAGTTGACCTGCCCAGTGCTACACGTCATCTAATGTCCTGATTGCTGCTTATATTGGCCTCAATTGTAGAACCAAGCAATGTGAATTCTTTGACAACCTCAATCTTTTCTCCATTTATTGCGATGCTGCTGATAGGTCCAGCTGTGAGAATTTTTGTCTTCTTTATATTGAAATGTAATCCATACTACAGACTGTGTTCCTCAATCTTCATCAGTAAGTGCCTCAAGTCATCCTCACTTTCAGCGAGCAAAGTTGTATCATCAGCATATATCAGGTTGTTAAATGATTCTTCCTCCAATCCTGATGCCACATTTCTCTTCATATAGTTCAGCTTCTCAGATTATTTGCTCAGCATATAGATTTAATAAGTATGGGGAAAGGATACAACCCTGACACACTCCCTTCCTGATTTTAAAAGCATGCAGTGTCCCTTTGTTCCGTTCGAATGACAGCCTCCTTGCCAAGGTACAGGTTCCTCATGAGTACAATCAAGTGTTCAGAAATTGCCATTCTTCTCAATGTTATCCATAATTTGTCATGATCCACACAGTCAAATGCCTTTGCATAGTCAATAAAACACAAGTAAATATCTTTCTGGTATTCTTTGCCTTGAACCAAAATCCATCTGACAGCAGGCATGATATCCCTTGTTCCACATCCTCTTCTGAATCCACTTGCACCTCTGGAAGTTCTGTGTCAATAAATTGCTACAACCGTTTTTGAATTATCT